ATATATATATATATATATATATATATATGATATTAAAAAGAATTTTATATGTATATATATAAAATACTTTTTAATTAATAAATACAATAATTAATGTCTTAAATGCAATGTATTTGTAATATAAAAAATACATCATATTACTAAAAAAAAAAAGGCTATTATGTAAAATAGATTTTATATTTCCTGCACCATAATTACTATAATTTTTTAATTTATTAGATGAAATTTTGTTACTTATTATTTTTTAATATATTTATCAGAAGCTTTTGCTTGTGTACGAATTACTAAAATCAATTAAATTGCTAGACCAAATACAGAAACAATACAATACATTGTTTTGTTTTCCCAACGCACTGTACAACTACCATCAGTAGCATTATCCCAATAGCATGAGCTCGCAGTATGCAATCCTGCTCCATTTTTTTGCATTATAGTACAAGTCACTAAAACAAGTTTTTAATTTAATAAACAAATAATTTAAAAGTAAAAAATTAATTTTGAATTATAAAAACATCTATATATACACATACCTATATATTTATACGGTTTCTGAAGTTTTGTAAGATTTCCCAAACATGCTTCAACAACATTTGATGTCCATTGATTTACTTTACTATGTTGATAAGCATTTCCTCCAATAGATACTTCAATTGCTTCTTTAATAATTTTGCTTACATCATCGACCACAAATTGGGTCTAAAATAATGATAGATTATATAATGAAATTATTAAATCAAATGTAAATTATGAAATAAACTGTCAATATTAAATATTAGTAAAGTTTTCATTAAAATAAATATTTCATAAAATATAAAGTTAATTATTTTAAAAAGGAAAAATATAAATTTATATAGCTTATTAATATATTCTGACAATTGGAAAATAGAAAATAAAAATATTGTATCAAAAACGAAAAAAATACTAACCTCTTCTTGCATATCTTCCATCATTTTGACAAGATTTTTAATAAATTGTGCACCACTAAATAATATAACTTTATATGAATTCAAAAATATTTAATACCTTGAATTAAAGTACAATTATTAAAATAATATTATTCATATTGAATATTAGATTCTTTTTATTACATTATTTAAAAAATTACTACATGAATGCAGATTCTGTTAAACATCTTTTCATACCTTAAATCTTTTGAATAAATTACGAAATATATTGCAGTAATATTAAGTAAATCTTTAACAAAAGTTTTTATCGCAAAATATAAATTGATTACTATCGATATTGAATATTGAACATTCGTTTACGTAAATACTTGACACATGTCAATTTTGAATAATTTTACATGTATGTAATGGTACAATTTAAAATAATAAATAAATGTAATTTTATCAAATTTAATATTTTATACTTTTTTATTATTTCTATACATTTTTATTGCAATATTATATTATTATGGAATGTACAATATAAAAAATATAAATTGACTTAATTACATATTATGAACTTACATATTTAAACCACTTACTATAAATATTTTTTAATTTTAAATTATTTAAAATATTATAATATTAATTTAATATTATAATAAAGTACTAAAAATTTATTATTTTAAACAATATGTATTAACATTTAATTAATTAATAATATAAATAATAATATTTTCTTAAGATATATGTATATATGTGTATGAATATAAAATTTTTATTGCGATAAAAAAATAATAAAAAGATATATTCAATATTATTTAATTAATTATTATAATATTATTATAATAATTATTAGAATAATTTTCAATATAAATATATATATGATGATTATTCACATGACAAAATTTGTTAATTTTTTATTAACTATATAATCATATTAAATAATATAAAGAAAATGTTTTCACGAAAATTCTTTTTCCTCTTTATAATTTATAAAATTTTAAAAATTTAATTTTAGCGGTAAATATACATATATAGAATACTATGTTAACATTAATTCAAGATATGTAACATAGTATTGCTTCATTGCACATGTGGTGTTCTATTACGTAAAGAAATTCTAAATTTCAATAAAAATATTGTGTTTTAAATGAATTTTACGTAAATCATATTATATTTTATACAAATATTTTATACAAAAGATATTTTAAACAAAAAATTGATAAATTTATAATATTTATTTACAATAAAAAGATATTATTCATAAAAAGCAACAGTGTAACAAAAATGTTATATCACCGTTATTCTCGGATGTTATTTAAACAAATTTCTGACTATAAAACTGTTTATAATCCATTAAAAGTTAATGAGATTGTCCGTTATAAATTCTATGATAATTACGAAGCTATTATTCATTTCATAAAGTATTTACGTAAACGTCAAATTGACGTTGGATCTGAAAAATCAAAAGATTATTATAAAATTAAAAGAAAAGCACCAGAAGGAACATTTATAAGTAATGAAGCACCAAATACATATGATTTTTTTACATTTCGCTTTCGTGAATGGTGGAAACGTAAAAAAGATGATCTTCAAGAACATATAGAAAATGATCAATATCAAAAATATGTAAAATTTGGACCAGATTTAGCAGCAGCTCTATTTATTGTACAAATGGGTGGTAAAGTAAGGTTCAAAAATCATAATGAATGGATAGATAAAACTAAAAAGGATGAAATTTCTAATTTCTTAAATAAATGTTATGCTAATTACATTTTAGAAGAATTAGATTTAAATGGATATCCTATACGATATCAACATCTTCATTTTATTTTTAATCTTCATTATTTAAAATCACTTAACCTCAGAGGTTGTACATCAATTAATGATTGGTATTTAGATAAATTGTCTGCAGAATATCCAATGTTAGAAAAACTTGATATATCAGAATGTAAAAATGTAACGGAAAGAGGAATAGAAGCATTATATAGAATGCCTAATTTAAAAACATTAATTGTAACAAACTTTTATGGATCTGCAGCATTTGATTTAACTTGTTTCATGTTAGAAGATGTTAATCCATATTTAACATGTCAAATTCAACAATCAAAATATAAACATTTACCAAGTACTTAATGTATAAAAAATAAAAATAATTTATATAAATAATATATATTATTTCATAAAATTTAAAAATACAGTATTTACATATCATATAATTTATATAGAAATTAAGAATGTTTTATTAATTTATTTTTTTCCCTGCGTCGTTTTAAATAATATAATTCTGCTTTGTTTGTGATTCCATAAGCTTTTATATTTTCATTATCATTTATTAATTTAATATTTTCAAAACATAAATGATATTTTTTCCAAATATGTTTCCAACTTATTTTTTTTTTAATTTTTTCTCTCTTCAAAGCTAAATTTGTATGACGCTTTATAGCTTTCTTGAGATCCAAAACTGTGGTATTATGTGGAGGTACCTAAATACATAAGGAATTAAGTTAGAATGATTTAAAAAGAATTCTGTCTAAATTAAATTATTTTTGAAATTCTTTAATTGTTGAATATAATTAATGTTATGTACAAATGATATTAAATGAATAATAATAAAAATACATATATTTAAAATGTAGAAATTTATTGAAAAAAAATATTACCACAATTCCAAGTTTTGGTAATTCTCCACGATTCAAATATAAAGTTATTGCTTGTCCTTGTGCAACTGCAATTTGAGCTTTAAGCTCTTCGATTGTAACATCTGTTGGTAGACCAGAAAGTAACGGATCACTTTCGATTATGTTATGAATTGCTTCTTTAGTTAGCTTTACTAACTCATTATGATCGAGCTCTGTATATTTAATGAGTACTTTTTCCTTTTTTATCGAATCATTTTCTTGTTCATTTTTATTTTTTGATTTGATATCTTTGAAAGAACACTGAATTTCATCCATAATGTCCTTATGCTGGTAAGAAATATGATAAAAATGATAAGAAATAATGAACTTAAACAATAAAAAATGCGATAATATTACAATTTTATAAATAAGTGTTTTTTGTATACGCTTTTATATGTATATGCAGTTAGGCATATACATAAAAATATATATATAGGAAACAAGAAACAATTTTTAACTGACGCATGCGCAAATAACATTTGTTAGTGCATTGAGGGCGCGGTTGTCACCGATCAATCTCAGTTGCATATGTATGTATGTAAGTAGTTCATCCTCAAATTTTGTGAATATAGTGTGCGATATCTGTCATAGTGTTACCGTTACTATTATCTTTGTCAATTATCCAAGTATAGTGACTATTCGCTATAATTATACGAATAAACACATGAAAAAAATTTTTATACAAAAGATCTATTAATAGTTAAAGAGTACTGAAATCAAAACATCATTCAAGATGACGATCATCACAAAAGCCATTACTGAGAAGAAGGCGGATAAAAAAGAACAATCGTTATTTGTTGAAGAAAATCCAGCGGTTAGCATCATTTTTATTATGCATTTTTTATCGAACTTTAAATTAATAATATTTTGATATTTTTAAAAACAAAAATTTGATAGAAAAATTATAAAATTTCTAAATGTAATTTTTTTTTCGTAAATAAATATTTAATTTTTGATTATTTACATTTTTTCGATAAATTTTGTTTTAAATAAATTTCATTTTAAATAAATTTACTTATATTAATAAATATCATTTTAATTTTTTAATTTATGGAATGTTGTGTACGTGATAAATTTTATGATGTCGTTTAATAGTTCGTTACATATATTTTCCATTATCGTAGACTAGCGATTATATATATGATAACGTATAGTGATGGAATTATAATTTTTTTCTTTGTTTCTTTTTCTTGATATAAATGAAGTTAAATTTTTTCTTTTTTAAAAAATTATTATGAAAACAAAAATTTTTTGTTTAATTATTATAAACATATAATATATTTTTTTTTTTAAATAACTTTATCTTTATTAAATAACTTTTTATATATCTTTATTTAAATAGGAAATATATATATCTTTATTTAAATAGGAAAATGGTAAAAGAGATGCAGAGGCACAATGTTTGAAGTCTGATGTAGGAGGTCATTACTTTGTTTCTAGAAGAAGCATATATCGTATTCATGTAACTGCAACATTTTTATTGTTTCTTGTTGCATTAATGATTCTCATAATTGGAGTTATTGGTGGATTATACATATATAGACAATATGCAAGAACACAGATGCACAAGTTTAAAACAGGATGGTATAGCATTCCTTATGACAAGTCAAACAAACCACCTTATGCCAAAGATGCAGTACATCAAAGTTTGATAGCAGATTCTGATCTAATTTTAAAAAGTTTGACAAGAGCTACAGAACGAGAAGCTATGGATATTGAAAAAAATGTAGATAGTGATATTAGAAGCTTTTTCAAGGAGCGATTTGAGATTGATTTGGAGAATGAGCACTATGAGAAAATAGATGTACCAGATTTTCGTGGTGGACGTCAAGGTCGTTTTATACATGATTTTAATATTGTGAGTTTTAATTTATTAAAAATTTGAATATTAAATAAAGTATTTATATTTTTATTATTTTATATTCATTTTTTTTATTACAGAATAAAACTGGTATTATTGATATTGATGGAGAATCTTGTTTTGTAATGCCACTTAATCGTCAAACAGTCTTACCACCACGTAATATGTATGATTTGTTGAGAAAGATGTATAATGGTAATTTTTATATAATTTATTAAATTATATAATATATTATATTTTTATATAATTTACTAATTTAATAAATTAATTTGAATTTTAAAAATAATTAATATTATTATATAATATTTAATTTTATAATATAGGTTATTATGAGGTAAATACACAAATTGTACGTGAAACAATGAAAGTAATTACACCACCAATTACTGATTTATCAGTTGTTGGAACATATATTGCTCGTGAATGTCAAGATTTTCCTACATATATGTTGACAAATGTAACTTCAAATGGTTAGTTATTATTATATTTAATGATTATTATTTAATAATTTTGTAAGATATTTATTTTATGTATTTTTATTTATTGTCTTTATACAGTTGTCAAACGTAGCATATCAAGTGGAGTATTTGGACAATTTGCTGGAAAAAATATCATAGAATTTGATATTTTGAATTTAGATGATGTATCTGAATATAACAAGAAAAGTTTACAAAAAATTGAATAAAAGAAATTTATTATTATTTTAGAATATTTATCATTGTAGATCATCAATGTATAAAAATTATATCCAACTCGGCAAACTTAGATAATTTCTCTGTAAGTTGCTACAATTTTCATATTTCAAATTATTTTTTTTTTTAAATTAATCAAAAACTTATTTTTAAATATATTTATTTTCAGGACGTTCATTAAGTCTTCCCATCATTTCCTATCTTAGCTCCAAATCAGTAATGGTCAATGGTGCTTATTTATAAGGTAGAATGACATTTTTTCTTCATTTATTTACATTTTATGCTTAAATTCTTTATTAAATAATTCTAATAAAATGATAGATATAATTCATGTTAAAATCGTTGTATATCTAATATATAGTCATACAATTGAATGACTACTAATTGTACAAAGTAGTAATTACATTGTTTTACAAATCGTACTAATTCTACAAATCATAAATTAAAATATTTTTACGGAAAATAAAATTACACTTTTCGCGATTTATAATCGTATATTATAATTTAAGAAATAATGTATCTTCACCTAATATTTGTGTTTCTGTTAATATAATAAGTGTGTTGTAGCAACACGTGATATATTTGAAAAAAAAATTTTAACAATAAAATATGTATTAAAAATAATAAAACATGGATAATAAAGTTATTGTGACCAGATAATATTATATTAAAAATTAAAGCATGTGATTCTATATCAATAATTCTATATCAAAGTTTCTGTTACATTCCTATTATTTTATTTTTAATTTTACTGATGCTCAATGTAAAAGACTTATATGAATTACAATGAAAATTAATATGATATTATTTTATCAAATTTCTACATATATTTTATCATAATATATAAATGCATGATTTAGTTTTATAGTCTAATATAAAACAATCATGTTTTATTTATTTTCAGCATTGAATAGTTCTTTAAGCTTTATTATTCATGAATGAATTAGCTTCAAATATATCTTTACTTTTTTTTTATTTTTTTGACTTTCACTTATGTATCAATTAAATTTTAATTTAATAAGTATTCTTTTAATATTGTTACGCAATTACAAATAAATGTATATTATTATTGTATTAATTCAAAATGCATTAAATTTCGTTTTTTAATTTAATTGATTTGAAAATAATATCAAATCTATTTTGAAAATTAAAACATGCATTATTATATTATCTATTGTATTATTATAATGTTTAATATTAAATTTATTATTACATAAATATATACATTATAGATCATATATTTTGAATTATATGTTATTCTATATAAAATATAAATATATTATGTTCTATAAATTAAAAAAATAAATGAAAGTATTATCAAATATAATTTTTTTATTTTTTATTCATATTAATACTTTTTACATTTAGTTTTATCAATAAAAGAAATTTTATCAACTTTAATATTTATATAATTTACTTTCCTGAATTTTATATATTATGAATTTTTTAACAAAACTAATAATTTAAAAACGTTTGATTAAATAAATTTGCATTAAAATTTTTCATTATTATAAGAATTCTTAAATATTTTTAAGAATAAATAGTCAAATTAATTTCAATAGAAATTATTATTTACAATGAATTAATTACAATGAATGTAATTTAAGAATAATTATATTTAAATATTTTTTTCCGTTTAATAATTAAAAATGTATTTTAAAAATTATTCAAAAAAAGAACATTGTAATGCTTTAAAAATATGTATATATGCGGTAAATATAAATGAATCTAATCATCACATAATAAAATGAAAAATTATAAATTTTTCGATTTTTACGCAAAATTTTTTAATTATTATTTATTTCAAATTAAAATTTAAATTTTCAAAAATATTCTGAAACTAATCTAATATTCTTTCTTAATTGATAATATGATAAATATCTTAAAATTGTACAGAACATCGTTT